CTATCAATATTAAATATTTTCAGAGATAAAGCATCAGTCTAGTTGTGGGGCAACAGCACTGGCATCAGTTTGCATGGATTATAGTTAGTGTATGTGCATGACATGGAACCTGGTTCATTAGAAATGCCTCATATATCCCCTGAACACATCACTGAGTTCTTCCTTCACAGATCATGTTATCTGGGAATTAGGTTTTTTACTGTATCAGTTCAGATACTGACATGTGGTATTTCAAAGTTCTAGGTAATCAGACTATAGCCCTGTGGATTCCCACACTGACTTGAAAAACTATTTTGCATGGACGGCCTAAATATGCAATGAAAGTCTTGCTGTGTCGACCATCTCTGTGTTTTCTGTCTGTTTTATATGTATGCTATATGGCCATGTATCACTCATTTTATGTAAGTGTATGCACCCATGTATCACACATTTTATGTATGCTGTATGGCCATGTATCACTCATTTTATGTAAGTCTTGCACCCATGTATCACACATTTTATGTATGCTGTATGGCAATGTATCACACATTTTATGTAAGTCTTGCACCCATGTATCACACATTTTATGTATGCTGTATGGCCATGTATCACACATTTTATGTAAGTCTTGCACCCATGTATCACACATTTTATGTATGCTGTATGGCAATGTATCACACATTTTATGTAGGCTGTATGGCAATGTATCACACATTTTATGTATGCTGTATTGCCATGTATCACTCATTTTATGTAAGTCTTGCACCCATGTATCACACATTTTATGTATGCTGTATGGCAATGTATCACACATTTTATGTTGTTATGTATACATTTTATGTATGCTGTATGGCAATGTATCACTCATTTTATGTAAGTCTTGCACCCATGTATCACACATTTTATGTATGCTGTATGGCAATGTATCACACATTTTATGTAGGCTGTATGGCAATGTATCACACATTTTATGTATGCTGTATGGCCATGTATCACATTTTATGTAAGTCTTGCACCCATGTATCACACATTTTATGTATGCTGTATGGCAATGTATCACACATTTTATGTAGGCTGTATGGCAATGTATCACACATTTTATGTATACTATATGGCAATGTATCACACATTTTATGTAAGTCTTGCACCCATGTATCACACATTTTATGTATGCTGTATGGCAATGTATCACACATTTTATGTATGCTGTATGGCCATGTATCACACATTTTATGTAAGTCTTGGCCATGTATCACACATTTTATGTATGCTATATGGCAATGTATCACACATTTTATGTAAGTCTTGCACCCATGTATCACACATTTTATGCATGCTGTATGGCAATGTATCACACATTTTATGTATGCTGTATTGCCATGTATCACACATTTTATGTAAGTCTTGCACCCATGTATCACACATTTTATGTATGCTATATGGCAAAGTATCACACATTTTATGTATGCTGTATTGCCATGTATCACACATTTTATGTAAGTCTTGACCCATGTATCACACATTTTATGTATGCTGTATGGCAATGTATCACACATTTTATGTAAGTCTTGTACCAATATATCACACATTTTATGTATGCTACATGGCAATGTATCACACATTTTTATGTATGCTATATGGCCATGTATCACACATTTTATGTATGCTGTATGGCCATTTATCACACATATATATGTATGCTGTACAGCCATGTATCACATATTTTATGTAAGTCTTGCACCCATGTATCACACATTTTATGTATGCTAATTGCAATGTATCACAGAAATATATGTATGCTGTATGGCCATGTATTACACATTTATATGCAAGTTGTGTATCACACATTTATGTCAGTGCCTTGACCAACAAATAATGATGATACCAAGTGTCCGCAAAAGGGTGGGTATATCCTGCCCCAACAGTGGCACCAGTCAGAAAACACATGCAAAGGCTGGTCAATTATTAAACTCATAGTACATCCAAGATAGGAAATTGCTCCAGACATCCTTCTTGTCACTAATGGGTCATACTATAAGTTATCACATTGTGTTGAGGGAAATACAGGGTTTTATCAGTCCCGAGTAAGGTTGTATTACCTTACGAGGGACTGATAAAACCCTGTATTTCCCTCGACACGATGTGATAACGTATTACCTTACTCGGGATTGATAAAACCCCGTATTTCCCTCGACATGATGTGATAACGCATTTATCTAGCCGAATGTTTTGCTTCAATTTCATTCTCAGTTGTTGTGGCAAAACGTTTCCTTGCTGCCATGTTGAAAACAGCTGATCGATTGACCTCAATGCAGCCCACGTTACTAAAGGCTTGGCGATGCACGCTTTTCTCACTTCGCGTGGTCACCGAGGCGTGGCGGGAAAATATGACTTTTGTACTCCCTGCTCGAGGATCGTGACGGGTGTACATGGTATTTTATCAGAGTCACGTGGACCAATCAAAACTCGACATTCTTACATGAGGCTGGATAATTATAAATCCACATATCTACCATTAATCTTTTCTGTAAGCTTTAGTGAGTCCTTGAATGTTGTAAACCTGATCAAGCAGCTTGTGAACAAAAGTCACAACTCTTTTGAAATTTTCATAGAATGAATGTGCTCGACCATGCTGGTGGTGATCAGTAATCAGCTGTTGTGAGCATTAGAGGTCTTAACACAGATTATCAGACATTGATGAGCTTAGGGAAGTCGATTACATAGAAGTCAGGATTACAGTTGTTGGTTAATACGCTCAAGTCATGCAAATCTCATTCAGATATATAACTTTAGTCCCAAGTGCCTGTAGACAAATAACAAGTTGAGCAGAGGAGACAAATTAATGAAGACCAGACTAATGATTGGTCTTTTTTGAACATTTGGTTGTAATAGTTATATACAATTATATATACATATCGGTAGCCTGTCAGTGATATCATCATATATACACCGGGTACTTTTTTCAATGACGCAGTCATATATATAGTTTGGTCTATCACTCATTCACAGTTATAATCTGGGCAATGTCACAAGCTATGCATTTCCATGAAGAGGAACACTTTATAAAAGTTGCATCTATTGCAATAAAAAAGTTATCTATCCATAACAAGTGTTCCTCGTCATCATACCAGCTTCTTAAAGAAATTATGCATTTTCATGCCACTGAGACAATCAACCATATGACCATCCATCTGTCCAATGTCGCAAACACATGTATATTCTGGTCAACGTCACAAACGCATGTATTTTCTGGTCACCAACACTATCATCCATCCATCCATCTGAACAGTGACAGATACAAGGTTTTCTCCCGTTACAAACAACAGACATGCCCCCAAGTTACACTATGGTAGTGTGATCAACAGACAGTCTCTTGTAGAACACTGCTACACACTGCCTAGTGGATTCCCTTACATGGCCCAGTAACTGTTAATTCTTTATAGAGCAATAAGACAAGACGGGTGTCAATGACTTGTCTATCTGGTCCACGTGACTCACTGCCATCCGTCAAACATATGATTCATTGGCTTGTAGTGCCGCCACTGTTTGTTCACATCTACAAATAACAAAGTCAACACTAGCACACAGCGACAGACCAGTGTTGAGGTATGGGTAGGTTCCAAAGTGGGCAACTACTCCATGCAATGGCAAATACAAAAACCTGATCTCCTGTTTGGGTACTTGGTCTCGGCCCTTGTTCTCTACGTTTGTACATAGATCTTAAAAAAATACATAATTTCCCACTCTGACCCGTGGTGCATTTATCAAGGAAGATATGTATTGAAATGCACCCAGCTTAGTGTTTGACGTAGACATCAAAGTAATTTGAACTATCTTACAGTGACACTTGTAAAGAGCTGAGTCAGCAATTATTCATAACACAGTAGGAGTGGGGGGAAAGATCACTAGCTCAAGGTTTGTCACTTCCAGCTTTGTAAATAAACTGAATTAGCCATACACAGACATTTACTGCTGGAAAAACATAAATACACATACACATTTCTTTAAAGCCAAACAGTGGCATCAAAATTTTCTTTTGAAAAACACAAAGTGACAAAACCATAACCATATTCGAAAGAAGTCCATTCCGACTATATCACAAGCACATGTGTATATCCCACTATCAAGTACTGATGATTCTAGGTGGTCCTGAAAAGGTGAGTATATCCCGACTATAGAAAAGTGGCTACGTTTATCTTCAGGCAATCAAAAAATTGAAACACGCACAAAAAATATATACAAATTTAGGAAAAATCCTTGTTTGGTTACTGTTCAGTTGACTTAGCTGACTTCAGCAGTAATTGTTTTGGCATGGACAACCATTACTTAAATTTTCACATTTTCAAGTTCAAACAGTGTCCCAAGTTTCCCACAGAAACAGGAATGTCTTTGGTTTTGAGTTTAAAAGAAATAGTGATGGATAAAACATGCAAAGAATTTTTTTCTCCACAAGAGTATTGACAAAACACTGCTCCTGGCTGATCTGTGTGGTGTGACAGACCTGCTCGTAGCACTGTGTAGCACCTCAAATGTCACTAAGTGTATGCCCTAGGATCACAGGCTCAAAATCTCTTATTGAAAAAGTCAATTTCAAACATAGTTCTTACTACATAATTTGTTCACAGTAATATTTTACTATGGCACACTTTTTGATTATATAACAGAAACAAGCTGAACATTGTAAGGTTTCTTGCAATTCTGTTATCAATTTGAAATGTTTTTCACTGTAAATGTATGTCATACTTTGAATCCTGAAATCATTTTGTTGTTAGGAGGTGTTTCCATGCTAATCTAACCAGCTTGTCTAACAACTGAAATTCAACCTTCCCACGTGGGTCTTTCACAGACCTTTGATATGAATTAGACAAACATTTGACAGGCTAGCTCAAGCTGTGTATATAGACTCAAGGAAATTGATAGATAACAGGATAAAATGTATATTAATCTTGTAATACATCAGTAGATAACAACTTGAAACATTGTAAATAAGGGAATGAAAGCAATGAGAGTAAGTAACTTACCTGTGCCATCGTTGGCTACACAGGTAGATTCACATTCATCCTCCTTTTCAAATCGGTTGTCATTTCCACCACATCCTCCGTACCAAAACATATTACACATGCTAGCCTGGTCATCATAGTACCACTTTAATGTGTAATTTGCACACGGTCCTCGGGATCGTTCCAGTTTACACCGATCTGCAAATTCAGAATTATATTTTTTATCATCAAATTCGACTTTTTCCCGCACCATTTCACAAGTTTTCGCACACTGAAGCCTTGTTTCAAAGCGATTATCGTTTCCTTCGCATCCACCATACCAGAATCGACCACAACTGGCCAGTCTGATGTCATAGAACCATTTGACGGCAAACGAGTCACATGGTCCTGGGTCTGATGCCAGACGACATGCTGCAAGTGACACAACCACTGGCATCAAAGCTTCTGCCATTCTCAATTATTACACCTTACACCTAGAAGAAAAAAGGCTGTTTCTTTAAGAAGGTACTCCAGTCATCCTGATAACATTCACATGCAGCCTCTTCAAATATCCCAGTGAAACAATTAAGCTATGAGCAGACGGCAATGTATGCATGGACACAGGTAAAACATATGATGAAAAGGGATGCTTGGACGTTCCCTAGAGACAAGCGTATCCCAGCAAGAGTAAAGCCACTTGTTGAGAGTATGCTGGCTGCTAGTGTCTGTTGGTGGGTCGGTGGGCAGGCAAACAAGCAGGCAGACAGCCCTAGTCAACACAGCCTTCTGCTTGGGATAGGTAGGTAGGTTCTCCGTGATTATGAAGCCCCTCTCACATGCCTGGCTGAAGGGACCTAGCTAACGGGCCAATGCTAGCTGGAACGCTATTTGATATGACTGACTGACCAGAGGAAGTCACCACTACAACTACCACTCTAATTCAGCAGATTCCGTCCAGTTATTGTAACTAGCCCCTCTCTTGAAAATCACCTCTGGTACTTAGTCCATTGTCAGGCCAGACAGTCCTCCCTCGCCTTTTTATTACATTACAAAAGAAATGTCTCTCAACTTGCTTGCCTGCTCGTTTGACAATTGCGGATGTATTCCTGGTGATGTTTGACCACCCTGTTGACGCTGGTCATCTCATGACTGACCGCTGATCACGGGACTTCACTCATTATGAAACTTACTATCCTTGGTATTTATATGGTCAGATAAACTGCAGATCAGGTCAAGTCAAAGTCCCATACATCCTTAGTACGAATGAACTCAAAGTTCAGTTTGTTTCATGCCTCTCTGCCTACATTACACTCAAATAGACATTAATTACACAAAGTGAGTCATTATTCTAATAGTGAATTCCCCCTCACCGCTAACTGATATTAGTTAGTACCTAATGACTTGAATGAATATTCTCATTTTCATTAAACTCTTCAAATTGTTCAGATTCTTACAGCAATGTTAATGATGATTTTCTGTCAAGAGTCTAATATTTTTCTACTTTTTTTCTGTTTTCCATATTTATTCATTCACATGGTATGAATAACACTTCTATGACTACTGTCAAAATTTTAATCAAAGATCCTAAACTGCGCCACAAAAAGTGTACACCCATATCTATGGGGATAAAAATGAAACAAAACTGAAAATGGTTATTTTATGTTAATTGTTTAAATTTTTTAAATACGAGTATCATAGTTGTGTTTTGACCATTAAGTTTGCAGTGTTTTAGAAACTGTTAGCATCTTTGATAAAAGTGAATGTTAGTAATTCATTGGATAAATCCAATTTATATTTTCCTTTGCCTTGCACTTTAGTTTCGAGAACTTTTAAGTGAAATTGCTGATTCCCATCCCACTGGAGCCTGCCGTATAGAAGCAAGTGGTGAGTGTACGCTTGAATGTAGCTACCGGCTGAGCATGGGATTTATACTACCCCGTCATCTGGCTAAACCATCTACAAACGTTGCAGAAAACTCAGATGAAACTGACGCGTTCCGTCTCATTTCATAGACAATCATTGTGTTAGGTTACCCTACCTCGGTGCTTTGTAAGTTTGTCAAACACCATGTGAGAGAAACAGGGATATCACAACAACTTGATTAAAACTGGATCAATAACAACACATACTGCCCGAGATATACCTCATGATATATTTTTGATAGGAATACCTTTCTATTTTTTCTCCATAATTTGCAAACGATTCCACATTCCTGTTTCTTTAACTGGTTAACAGATTTATATTTCATAGTTTTTCTAACAGATAATGTAGCATGATGCATTTTTGCAAGACATGATTCATCACTACAGAACACGCATTTCATGTCAGGACAAGAGACATTGATGAGACATGCTTTAATCAACCTAATCCAATTTCTCTTAACGTCATTCAAAGACCTATCAGCTGCGAGGAAATCACTGAGATGCTGTGATATCTACTGATTAATGACAATCCAAAATAAGCACGGCCCTCCCTCGTATGTAAAGACAGTACCACATTCCTCCATTCACAGAATCTGATTATCTCTGCTCTCATATTTTTATCAAATCTATTTCAATATCCACTTTCAGGAACTACTACATTTTGACAAGTGTGTGTCAACTCTAAGGCTAATAACTAACCTATAAAATCATTTGGCTATTTTGTCCCCAACATTAGGAAAAAGAATGAGAGCACCTGAGGGTCTCAAACCACAAAGCGTTCGTAACGTTACGACCTGTCACAACTCTATATGTTATCATAGTTTTCCGAATGTCATGGCCATATGAACGTTTTGTGGATCTGGACCCAGCGGTGTAAAACATAGCAGGTAGGGCTGTATACTGTGATGGTAGACTAACTCTTAGTCGCTGAATATATATCATTTTGATAGTAACAAATAAACCCATATAAATTGAAAAAGAGCCCCATTGAGTTGGGAAATCTAGACTCATTCAGGGTTTAAGCAAAGCAAGGAGGGATAGGCATTGGGGGAAAAAATTTGGTTGAGGGACTGTGAGACAGACTTACTCTGATGGTGTCTCAACACCCGGCCCAACACCCGGCCTGACTGTGAGATGTGATGGGGAGTGGGTCATTGATTTAAAACTTGTCTCTCAGGTCATATAGTTTCTCACCTCCATAGTGTTAGAGGGCCTTGTTTCTTTTCCATTGTTACACAAACAATGGGTGATCAGCCTTTTCGCGAATAACATTTCCGACCTGACGTGTGATCCAGAATATGTTTGCTTACAGTTTATCACATAACACTGTTAAGATTCTTGTTTCATGAAATGAATTTCCATGCCATGTCATGTTACGCATGTTACCTCTCCAGAAAGAAAATTTTGTCCTATAAAGTAAAAAAAAATAATATTTTTTTATTAACTTTTGGGAATGATTAGGTTATAGGTTTAAAGAAATTGGTTTTGATATCTTGTCTGAATATGTGGCGTAGATGTTCATTATGAGTGAGTTTAGTTTTACACCGCTTTTAGCAATATTCCAGCTATATTAGTGTGGGGGACACCAGAAATTGGCTTCACACATTGCACCCATATGGGCAATCGAACCCGGGTCTTCGGCGTGAAGAACGAAGGCTTTAACCACTAGGCTACCCCACTGCTTCATTATGACAAAATTATCCCTTAATAATTCTAAATAGGAACCAAATACGAAATTCTCACAATGCATCAACTGTATCCAGAACAAAGACGGATCTGGGTTAACACTTTAACACTGAAGCATAATTCTTTGAACTTGCAGGTATGAAATCTTGTTCTATGTCATACACAACCAAAGGTTAAAGGAAAACGAAAAAATTCATCCATGTCTTTTGGCTAATAATCCTTACTTCATCGACACGTTCAAAGAATTGTCTGAAGAAAACTTGTAATTCCTATTTCTTCTCTTGACAATGAGATTTACCTGAATGAGACTCAGCAAGACCTGTATAAAAGTCCCATGGTTAAGAGACACGAAAGCATTGTTCATATTGTTCAGTGATGCACACTTCCAATACCTGACAGGTGGGGCAGCTGGGGTGGGTGGTTGTGTCTCTCTGTGGAGTCAACGGGCCAACAACTATTGTACATAATGTTCAGTTATAAACACTTCTTTGAATTTTCTTATCATGATAACAAAATCTCTTCTTTACAAATTTAATAGAAAAATTACTAAACCATGCTTTTTAACCATTTTAAAAAGAAAGAGTAACATATTACAAAACTTGTCTATATGCAGTGTATGAAATAAGTCAAAAACCCAGCCAGACATCAGGGCTGTTAACTTCAAATTGTTACCAGCCCAAAATGGATTTAACCAGACCAAACACCAAGATATGGTGAATTTACACAAATTTACTAAATGTTTTACCAGACCATCGGGCTGGCTAGCTGTAAATTTAGACCGTCCGTCAGAAATCTAGCCCGTCTCAGGTGGTCGGACGGGCCTTATTTCATACACTGGTATATGTATATGTTGCTAATACATTTACAACAATAACTATAAATTTTGATGCTCACTATACCTTTGAATGATCATTAAGGATGGAAAATTCAAAAGATGGAAATACAAAAAATAAATAAAATATAATAAACACTTCTAATGCTGAACTGAGGGGAATGCATAGACCAATATCTAGTCTCTGACATGAATATATATTACAGAAAAAAACGTTCATAAAATACAATAAAAAGGAGCCCAGAGATTTTGCTTATTATCCTGCATGTGGTGCATTGGGCATATTTGTTTCATTGTCTGTACAACAGACTAGGTTGTGCATTCTTGGTTTGAGACTTTTAAAAAAGAACCATAAATGGACCTGTGTCACTATTTCATTGCCTCTCATATAGCTGTGATTGATTTTGGCAATAAATGTTAAGGCCAGACCAATTTTATTTCTTGTTTCACAGATCCGACGGTCATATTTTTTCAAGAATAGGAAAAAAAATTAATTAATTTTCCCTGCTCAAAAAATAAAATCCTAATGTTAACATGATATAAGTTAAATACTCTTGAAATCAGTGTGAAACCTAAACTCACTCAACTTATTTTTAGTTGATATAAACAAACCAAAAGAGTTAACAAGGAAACTCATGTGGGGTTTTGCTTTGACTGGTGATTTTAAAAAAAAATTTGCCCCTCCTGCTTTTAGGTTTTCTGAGGTCAAAAATCTGTAAAACAAGAAATAAAATTGGTCTGGCCTAATGATAATAATACTGCACATTTCTGGTGCACACAAATCGACAATCAGAAGCTCGCTTAAACCCCTTATCTGCCATTGTTTCATGACACCTCCTAATCTCACCAGCACTGCCCCCTCCCTTTATATCTGACCATTCCTCACAAAATACAGTCAATACGACAACTTATCCCCTCACATGTTTATTAAATTTCATGAAATCTGACATGAATGAAGACTACTATCCATCTGCAGGAATCCATCACTTAAGATGAGGAAATGAAGTCCAGCCAACGACAACTGATCCCATATGGGGATGTATGTATATACATCATGTACAACCAGAACCACGCAGTGCCCGACCCCTGCAAAACCAGAATTAGATTGTACAGGCCAGGGCAAACACAACCATCTTAAAGAAATGAAGTCAATCATGGAAGATTGCAATTTACACTAGAAGCCCTTTAATTCTTTGTTTATTGGTAGGGTCGGGTTGACATGTAATTCCTCAGCCTGCATGCTTGACAGGGTAGTATTTCAGGCAGTGAGATTCCCCAGCTGAATGGAGACTGTAGCAGATTGCATGTGTCTCCCCTATTTCAAGCATGCTCGAATTCAAGTAATCAACTAAGTACATGCTGATTAAGAAGGACGTAAATATACGTTTCATTGCTTAAGCTGTAGCAATAAAACATCAAACAGTATTGCCATAACTAAACTTAGTACTATTTATATAGACTTTGTCACAAAACTATGATGACTATATGATGTTTGTATCTGCTTGCATGAAGACATTTTTTTTTTATCTCATCCTAATTTGTGTTAAGCTTGTGCACACTCGTAAAAGTGTCATCGTCATCAGGACAGCAAAGTGTCTGTCTCCATTACAACAAGATAGCATGTATCTACATACAACTTTTCCTGGCAACAGGACAGCAAGGATCTATGTATCAGTCTCCATGGCAACAGCTCTGCAAGGATCTATGTACCAGTCTCCATGGCAACAGCACAGCAAAGATATATGCATCGTTTTGCAGGCACTGGTACAGCAAGGATCTATTCATCGGTTTCCATGGCAACAGCACAGCAAAGATCTAGGTACTAGTCTCACTGGCAACAGCACAGCAAAGATCTATGTATGTTTTCCTGCATTGGGGCAGTGAGGATCTATGTATCAGTCTCCATGGCAACAGCACAGCAAAGATCTATGTATCTGTTTTCCTGGCATTGGGGCAGCAAGGATCTATGTATCAGTCTCCATGGCAACAGCACAACAAGGATCTACGTACCGATTTTCCTGGCAATGGGACAGTTGCGGTAGTTGGGCCCCTGTGCAGCAGTCACCCCATCAGGACAACACCCATACCGGGTGGCTGAACACTGCACTGGCAGTGGAGAGATTGGCCTCCCCTGCAAGAGAATAATTGGAAAATATTGTAGACACAGAAGGAGGTGATGGCAACTTCACCAACAAATAAAATAGTTTGAGAAACCACTTCTTTCAAACACAAGTTTTCAAAGACAACACACATCATACTTTCCAATACAAAATTATTTAAATTCATGTGTATCAAGAAATGAAAGAAACATCTGCATAAACCCATGCCAACCAATGCCCTGATGCTCTTGCACAGAAATTTCTAAATTAATGACTAAAAACTTTATCATTTTGAGACACAAGCTGCATTTCAACGTGATTCATTGTGTAAGTTAAAGTCTGACAGTGGAGCAGATAAAGTATGAGAAACAGAAGAATATCACAGATAAAACAAAATTACAGTTAGGCCAGACCAATTTGATTTCTTGTTTTATGGATCCGCCTGTCGTATTTTGTCAAGAATAAGAAAAAAAAAATTAATTAATTTTCCCTGCTCAAAAAGTAAATCCTAATGTTTTCATTGGCCAAAAATGTAAACTTACAAAAAAAGTGTTTTTAGATTTATTTTTTTTGCCCCATATATATACACTTCATAAATTGCCAAAAGTAAAATACTTTGAGTATTTAGAACAAATATTACTTTGACTGGTGATTATATTTTCATTTTTTCCCTCCTGCCTTTAGGTTTCTGGGGACCAAAATCCATAAAACAATAAATAAAATTGGTCTGACCTTATGCATTTTATGATGCGTGTCCTTATCAAAACCGTCTGTGTAGTCAAGCCAACATCATTAAAAGATTTGCCAACAGAGTTCAGCACATTTCACACAGAAATACAGAAACGTCTGTTTGCTCAATCACATAAAACATCATACATGGAAACAAATTGTTTTTGCGTTGTTTTAGCCTAATTAAAACTGACTCTAAGTAGGTGAATGTGATATACCAGGATTAAATCTGTCAAGGAATGTCATGCTTTAGTTCCATTTTAACTGGTTCCTTTTTCTGATGAAGTCTGGTATCTCCCATTTCTTGTAATCTATAATTACAGCCATTAACACTGTCCCACCTAACAGTGTCATGTTTCCCACAGTTACTATCTAAATGGTGTTTCATGACATGACACCTCTTTCCCAGACAACAAGTAAAAGTCATTGTGTCATCTATTTCTCCCCCCAAGAAGCCACAAAAACAGTGATTACCCTCCTGTAACCGGACCCCAGGAACGCTCATTTAGGATTGCAGGTCTATTGCAATGATTTCAATGTGTGACCTATGGCCTGGAACAGTTGAACTGCTGCCATGTGTGAATGTTCTTTATTGAAATACTACCAAGCTGTGCTTGTGGCTCAGCACAATGCAGGATCACAAGGATCACAACAGGATCACAACAGGATCACAACAGGATCACGACGGCACAACAGGTGTGGGAGGGACACGGCAGATTTCTTTAGGATGTTATTGTCACCGTGCACAGAAACACAAAGCATTGATGACACCACTTCATATCAGACGAGACCTCATCGCATATATCAGTCTCTGTGTAGAAAGAAGCTTTCTTCCCTGATGGCTTTAGACTAAATGAATGAAGTTCTAACTGTAGGGTGACTGAGTGAGTGAGTTTAGTTTTATGCTGCTTTTAGCAATATTCCAGCAATATCACGGCTGGGGACACCAGAAATGGGCTTCACACATTGTACCCATGTATGGAATTGAACCCAGGTTTTCAGCGTGATGAGCGGACGCTTTAACCACTAGGCTACCCCACCGCCCCTCTAACTGTAGGGAAACTGTAGGTGATGAGTGATGCATAAACCATACATGAATCATTGTGTTGCTCCCTTTGTTCTTGGAAGCTGAAACATGAAGTAGCTTTTTATGTCTTAAAAAAGTAAATTTCCCATTTTCACGTGTGTTTGTGTGAGAGCATGCTTGTGTGGGTGTTGTTTATAACATACTCAGCCATGTTGTTGTGTGTGTGTGCATATATGCATGAGAGCATACTTCTGGGTGTTTTGTTTATACACAACTCAGCAATATTGCATGCATGTGTGCATGCTTGAGTGCATGATTGAGTGTGTTTTGTATACAAACCTGGGCCTAGATTTTCGAGACTCTCTTAGCGCTAAGATAGCCGTAAGTTAATGTTAATGTATGGCACTTATGACTATCTTAGCACTAAGAGAGCTTAGAAAATATAGGCCTAGGTTACCTGTAAATTATTGTATCTGCACCACACAATCCAGTGATTGATATTGTGAGCACTGATCTACTGAAGGTGAAGGTGAGGTGAGGTGAGGTGAAATGGGGTTTAAAGTCACACTTAAGAATATTTTGCTCATATGATAACGTGCATGTATGTGTATGTGTGGCTGCTTGTACTAGCCCAGACTTAAGCTGGTTTTATAGTGCTATCTCACTGAGATACCATGCCACAGTTAAGCATGAATACCCCACTCAGACACATTATACTGACTCCGAGCCGACCAGTCCTTGATGTACCCACTTATGCCGAGTGCCAGGCAGGAACAAAGAAGTACCATATTTTAACGTCTTTTGGTATGACGTGGCCGGGAATTGAACCCATGGCCTTCCGCCGTCCAGGCAGACGCTCTAACCACTACACCATGGAGGCTGCCTGATCTACTCAGCTGGGTTGGGATAGCACATCATTAACCATGCCACCCAGTCTGAAAACCCACTGCATACACTTGCCACTAGACTAACGATTATTCTACCGAATATGTATGATGTTAATAGAAACAAATAATCCTTTTTAAATTGAAAAGGAACCCCAATGAGATAGGAGATTCACAAACCTGAGGAAATCTAGACTTGCTTCATTTAGGGCATTAGCATTGCAGAAGGGCTGGGCAGTAGGGAAATACAGTCAAATCCTGATGAGTCGAATGCCGGTGTCTCGAATATTATGCATAACTCGAAGTACCTGTCAATCCCGACCATTCCCTGTTATAGTTGTCATCATTTGAATACCGGTTACACGAATTCGTCTCATAAATACACACGATGACTCGAGAATGGAATTTGGTCCCATGAGATTCAAACAACAGCAATCTTGTATACATAAGCCAAAGTCAGTCAATGAGAAGATGATTGGTGTAGCAAACTGATCCAATTAACAAACCAGCGTGGCTCACACCTTTCGGCCATTGACGGGTGAGTTCAAAAGGCAGATTAGTGATTTTACGGAAATCACTGTCTGTGCTAATCAGACTGGAACTGATAAGGTGCCCCTATTAGTGATATGGAAATCATTAGATAAACAAATGCTTTGGCGGAGGAATTAGGACTGGATCATCTTTTTTTCTACCCTCATAGACATACCTATGTCTCGAATACACCGATAACTCGAATTTATTAGTTGGTCCCCAGCGATTCGACTCATCGGGATTTGACTGTAATGCGGTTCAGGGACCTTCAGACAGACTATCTTGCCACATACGACCAACATTGGACAACTGTGACCAAATCCAAACCCAGAATCCCACGACAATATACAATTAACTTTCCCTAGCTGTGTCATCATCACTTTAAAATGCAAATTGCAAAGGAAAAGGGTTCATTGTTTCACTTGCAAGTGTCTTAGTTAAAAGTGACATTATATATGATCAAGCTTGCATGGAATCATGAATGAAATAGCCCATTGTTGTTGCCTGTGTTGGGGCAGCTTCTGCTCTAGGGGAGGTCAGGGGAACACTTGAGAGGGAGGTGATTGATGGCCACGTAGCTCAACCACTTACACGACATCATGGCTTAGTGTAAGCCCAGCTCTTCGGTCACTGAATCACTGAGATTACCATATTGACAGTTACGTCAGGAACTTACACTGTCTATACATTACATGACATTATGATTTGTGAGTACGCCATAATGTTAAAAACAATGTCTACTTTAACAATACTACCTCTGTACTGGTTGTTCCATGATGATGCATACTAGCATCCACAAAACTAATTGTGTTGTCTGAAAACAAGGACTGTCTCCATCACGATGCAAAGTAAAGAGTCTAGACAGCATAATCAAGGTTCCAAGGCCAATGGAATGTTCAAATCACTATTAAACAAAGAAACTTAATAGTCCTTTTAATGTTGGAGCATTTTGGGTTTTTTAAGAAATCAACTAATGGAAGCTGAATAGGAGTTATTCTCATATCAGCTGTCACAATTTCTTAATTGTATGTCAGTTACAGTCAACTACGGTCATACCGAACTAAAAGGGACCATCTTTAGTTCCTATCTTTAGTTCCTTTTGTGGTCGTTACAAGACTGACTGACTGACTAAGTTTGGTTCTACGCCCGCTTTTAGCAATATTCCAGCAACATCACGGCGGGGGACACCAGAAATGGGCTTCACACATTGTGCCCATGTGGGGATTCGAACCCGGGTCTTCGGCGTGACAAGCCAACGCTTTAACCATTAGGCTACCCCACCGCCCCGGTCGGTACAAGAATACCTGTCACTTCATTACAAGCATTTGTGATATAAATATAGTTTACAGTAGATCACAGCATGCTGGCTAAATGTTTAACATTCACATTCAACTTGTGATGACCTGCATATGGTGCTGACACTCCAGTGATTTTAATCAACTTTACAAGGTTCAAACCTCCAGATCCTGGAAGCTAAGGGACACAACTCTGATTAGTGATTTTTGAAACCACAGGGGCACTCCTGCCCATAAAGATTATCTTTTGAGATTTTCTTGACAGAAGAACTGAAGGCAAGTAGAAATATGCACCATTTAAGTGTCATTTGGGAAATGTATCTTATATTAATAACAATGAACCGTCTGCATCTTTTGTCCAAAGCCTAGTCTAGTAAAAAATTATGTTCTGTCTTGAGAGATCAGTTAATATGATACTACTTTATAAGAGAATAATTTACTTGAAACGATTCTGAAAGTCTATTAGACTAAAAAAATGTTTGACACAGATTACATCAAAGAAACACTTTCTTTGTAAAATATCATATATCTGAAGCCTATTAAAGAGATTGGTTTGGGACTATCTG